GCTGTATTATATAGAAGCCAGCCTGTTCAACATAGTAAGCTCCAGGCTACCCAGGACTACACAGTAAGACCCCCTTCTCAAAAAAAAAAAAGAGAGAGAGAGAGAGAGAAGAGAAAAAAAATTACATGCTTGTAATCTCGCACTTGGGAGAAGCCCAGGAAAGAAGATTTCAGAAGTCCAAAGGGAATAGGCATAGGCTAACCAGGGCTACCTGGCAAGACTCTTCAAAGAGAGGAGAGGGGAGTGGAAGGGAGAAATGAGGCTTATTAACTTTTTATCCTCAAGTTACAGTGGATCACTCCTAAATAGGTTTCTCACTTTGCAAAAGGGTCAGCTTAACAACTATTTTCAAAAGAACAACTTCCCAACCATATCAAAGATGTCAGTTACAATCATAATTTTATCTGACAACAAAGCAACTAGAAAATAATAAATTACACAATCTATTTTGGGTATTAAGACAAATAAATAGTAAGTATATAACATTAGCTTATTCATAAAGATCAAATTTTGTGGAATAACATAAATTACACAAGTGCCATCTGTAGCTATAGTTATGGATATAATAAAGCATCTGAGGATAGGCATCTTGTCTGCAGTGCTCACAATATATCCCCCAGAATCTACCACAGTGCCCAGTAAGTAAAAGCTGCTTAATATTTGTTGAATGAAACAATGCTCTCTATACCACAAAATGACTAAATCACCTACAAAAGAATATATTATGGTCAGTATAGCTTCAGCATTTCACATCTATACATATATATTGTAATTCTTAGAAAACAAATAATCGGTGTGTGGTTTACCCACCCTCATGCCCATAAACTAGAACTCTTCACTCTTAAATCACTCTGAAATCACTCTGAATAAGAACAGGGCTCACTATAAAGCATTGCTCTTAAGTAAAAAGGATATCTATGTGAATGCAATACAGGTTTTAGGTAAGGGTAGATGTCAAAATGTATAGATCTATGGTAACAGTTCCATGAATGCAAAAATATTGCAATATATGCAGATATATTTTAAAACACAGCAAAATAAAATCAGTATATTTGACACTCACCAATATTAGGACAAATTTACTAGGGAAATGAAATGGAAAAAAAAACTTATAATTACCCTTATAATTTCACAAGGAAGCCAAAAACTTTCTTGCTCCTGGAACAAAAGCAGTTACTTGAATTATTTTGATAACTGCCTTTATACATATTGTTTTATTAAAGTAGCATTACCTTGAACTCAAAGTAATAAATCAGTTACTTATTAATGTTTTAGCCTTATTTAAAATTTTTATTCTTTTTGATGCAGCTTAAATTCCCTGTCTCTTTGGTAAGGCATTTTCTTTATAGAACCAATATAGTTTAAGTACTTATAGAATCAATGATAGAAATTTACTCTACTTGTCCATGCTACTAATAAGCTCTTATTATCAATGATCTGTGCTGTCTATTATCCTTTCAACAAATTAAACTGACAGCAACCACTCACCAAAATCACCTAATTTACTTTATCAAAATATTTTATTTGAGCCTTTAGCAAGAAAAAATAAACTAAAAAAGAGAAATTTGTGACAGACTATCAATATGCCTTTAAGCTCATAGATTACAAAAGTTTATACAAAACTATAAAATTCCTATAATCACTACAAATTTTATTACAAGACAGAATGACTTCGAAGTCCACCCTAAATTTCAACTAGTCCAGACTTCCAATTAAATACACTTTTGTAGCAAATTAATTGAACAGGCAAAGCTATTATTACATATTTGTTGGTTTTACAGAGATGCTGACTAGGAACAAGTCATGTTCTTAAGACACTCCCCACAGGTCTAACTCCCCAAAATGCTGTACACTAAATCCAATAATCTCCTTCCACCTCAAACTGTCAAAACTTAGGCATAATGATGAAAGTTTGTAATCCAAGCACCAAGAAAGCTAAGGTAGTGGATGGAGAGAGCTCAAAGCCAGCCTAGACTATGGAACAACACTATCTGCAAAAAGCAGTAAAGAAGCTATATTGTGGCACATGCTTTTGATCCCAGCACTCCAGAGGCAGTGGCTGGTGGGTCTCTGAATTCAAGGCTAGCTTGGTCTACACAGTGAATACCAGGAGAGGTGAAGCTAGATAAGAGATACTGTCTCAAAATAACAAACAAGCATGGAAAAACCCACAAAAGGCTGTGGAAAGGAAATTGGTATTAGCAGTTGTAAAATACACCTGCAATCCCAGGACTTGAAAGGTGAAGTAAGGATCAGGAATTCAAGGTCATTGAGTTTAAGGCCATCTGTACTACATGAAACCCTGTTGCAATTTTTTTTAAAGTTGTAATTTATCAGAAAGGACAATTTTTAGTGGCAAAGATGTCATGCCATGGCCATGCCTTTTAAAAGAACAATTAATCACTATTTCTTCCAGTTCAAAAAGAGGAGCTGGGGAAAGAAATGGCATTTTAAATATGACTCACAAACACAACTGAGCTATATGAAGATGATGTGATTTCTAAGTGATTCGTGCCTCCCATAACAGGTTTAAGATAAAAAGAAAGCCTTATTTTAACATATAGTCTTCTACTGTTCAATGACCAACAATTGTAACTAACACCACTATAATTTATATAGCATTCAAGTCAATTTCAGATGCACATGACTGCCAAAAAAGCATAATTGATTTTGAGAGAATTCATAGTCATATCTCTAAAATATTAAAACAATTGTAAGGGTAACACAGAATTTGGACTACATCTACTGGGCTGTGTAAGTTCCAATTAAGTCTTTAATTTACTAATCTAGTGATTTAAATGTGTGTACTACTAAAAGAATGTGCTCCATGTAGATGACAATAGTGGATGCTTTACTAATGTAAGGATTTAAATTTTGCCCACCCCAGCCCCCAAATTTAATGCCACTTTTAGCAGTGAGAATTTGAAAATGTTGGATGGTTTATTCAGTGCAATGATTTGCAGTTTAATTCCTTGCTCTAGGCCTAGGGCTTAGACAGAACTCCTAAGAACCTTCCATCTTATGACACTGGAACAAATTCCTAGGACTTACAATAGTCAGGGTTGTGCAGTAAAATGCAAGCAGCTGGACCTCTTGGTTGAAACAATGAGGTCAAAGCTCCCTTTAGTATTAGCAAAAGAGAGTCTCTGCAGAAATCTTGGGAGAAATTCGAAGTACTAGCAGGCTGGCACCTTAACAACTGCTGCAAATTCTACTGCATGCCCTAGCTTTGTTGGCCAGCACTGCTTAATTTTTACAGAGGCGATGCAGATCACTGTCAGCAAAAGAAAACTGCTTTTGGATCAACACTGGCTGTTTAATCTCAAATGTCCAAAGCCTTAAAAAATGGGGATGAGGAGGTCAGCATCTTTACTTTGTGCTAATGAATTTAGCATGACTTGGAGAACAGTTATTTTTGTAACATATGGGTGCCATGTGAAGATTACCCTTTTTCCTAGGAATTACAATTAGCTTTCTTATCACCTTTTCCTTTTTATCACCCCCAAACAACACTTCAAAATCACAAGAACCTATGTGAAACAGAACAAGGAGGTACAATGCTCTTTTACAGTCTCAGGCTAAAAGTGACAACAAATTTTAGTCACTTGCTTCAGCAAAGCATCCAGGACAAACCATTTGCCATGGCTCTGGAGATCCTTGATATGCACAACCTTTGCTGCTAAGTGCCACAGGTACTAATCACCCCCACCTTTGCGTGTTTCTGAGTGAAATAAACATTTAACACAACCTCAAGAGAGTAAATTATTCTGATGATATCCTAAAAGGGAACTATTAATTGTGATTATTAAGCAGGGGGCATTTGTGAAAGTTTCAAATGTAGGAAAAAAAATAAGGGCAAATTCATCCCACCTTCGAAAACTATCTCACCAGTGACTTAATTAGACATGACTCCACAAAAGGTAGCAAATTTTCAAGTTCTTACGTGTATGCTAAGAGTGACTGGGGACGTACTCAGCATTTCCCCCTTAAATACAGGGGGAAAAATGATGAACACTTTCTTTCATATCCTGGAAAGAAATGAAATCCTATTCCCGCCACCTCCTCTGGAAATTAGGGAAGTTGCTACAAAAGGCAGCTTGTAAGTAAACTGCTGTACTTTCTCCGTTCTTTATGCACCCTCTGAAGAAACAGGTTAATGCAAAAAGTCAGTAGCAGCCAGAGATCGCTCCCCTCCCCCCCCCCGCCCCGTAGAAATGCAATTCCTCTTTCTTTCGGGGCTCGGGAGGGGCAAGGTGTCCAGCCAGGGGAGCTCAGCTGCAGGTTCGTCTCCCAGCCTGAAGCAGAAGGTCCTCTGCTAGGCGGATCCTGGCTCTGCAGCGCGGGCAGCCTCTGGGCCATTGCTGCTGGCCCCAGCCCACCGTGCCAGCGGCCGTCTCTTTTTTTTTCCCTTGCCCTCAAGGTGAGGTTGGAGGCTGAGTCCTCAAAGTTTGCCCGGCCTCTGGTCAGCAGCCGACCCGCCCGAAGCTGGGGCGAGGCTGAGTCGTGCACTAGCCTCGGGCTCTCTTGGCCCCGTCCACTTCTTTTGGGCCACAGTGACAGATCTAGGTTTACCTCCATGTGCTCGTGGCAGAGGAAACAAAAGGCGGCTTCCTCCCCGATAATCACACGCCATCTTTCGCTAATTGGGAAACTGAGGGATCCCCGGGGGAGCCCCCCCCCTCCACCGCACCCCGAGTTCCCCGCGCCCGCTGCTCCAAGACGACCGACTGACTAGTCCGGAGTCAAGAGTTCCTCAGCGCCGGGGCTGCGAGGTCCCGGAGGCAGGGGTGGGACCGCAGAGAGCCCTACCTGCCTCCCCACCCAGGCCACGCGCGGCGTCCCGCTTCCCTTAACACGGGAAGGGAGGCCGGCGCGTCCCGCTTGCCGCCCCCGCCCCGGTCACACCTCGAGCGGGGACGGAGCGAAGGGACCAGCGAGCCGGCTTCCCCACCCCACCTCCCCCGCCCCGGTCCGCCTGGAGCGGCGGGGAGTGCACTCACCAGGCGATTCAAGGTCCGGCGGAACATCGCGTCCGAGGCTGCGGGCTGCCGAGCCCGGGCTCCAGCGGGGCTGTCTGCCAAGGCGCCGTCCACGGAACACACTGCGGCGTGGGCCCGCAAAGCGGACGGCTAGCTCGCTCGCTCGCTCGCTCGCTGGGCTGCCCCGCCGCCGGCCCTCCTCGCCCCTGCGCGCCCCCGCCCGGCCGCCCCGCGCGCTCGCCGCCCCGCCTTCCCCGTGGCCCGCCCCCCCCGCCCGCCCGCCCGGCCCGGGGGCGGCGACCCCGTCGCTCCCCTTATCTGGCCCCGGCAGCGCCTGGCGCCGCTCCCGCCGCAGCCCGCCTAGAAGCGAGCCCGGCGCGCGGGGGAGGGATGGCGGGTGAGCGCCGGGCTCTCGGAGCGCCAGGGGGTGGCGGGGGAGAGCGCTTGGGCTTGCCCGTCGGCGCCCTCGCCCCGCCGCTGTGCCCCCGGCCGGCTCCCCGCCGCCGCCTTGGGCGGGCGCCCCCCTCCCCGCCCCCGGGGGCGGCCCCGCGCCTCGCCCGCCACTACTACCGGGTGTCTGCGAGGAGGAGCCCCTGGGTCCCCCCTCAGCCCGGCCCTAACTCGGCCGCTTCGCCCGCTGCCGCCGTTCACCGGCCCCGCGCTTTCGCCCGGCCGACGGGAGCCTCGGTACGGCCCACCTCGACGCCGCCGGCCGCCCCCGCTTCCTGAGCGGGAGGGGCCGCTCTGTGAGGAAACGCTCGGGACTGAGCGGGAGACCGTGGAGACCCTAGCGCGGGCGGGGCGGGGCGGGGCGGGGCCGGCGGGGCGGGGCGGGGCCGGCGGGGCGGGGCGGGGTGGGCGGGGCGCGAGTACAAAAGCCGCCCCCTCCTAGGCTACAAACGTGCCGGGCTCCCCTCTCGGTCCCCGCCTGCACCCTCTACCCCTGCTCGTATTTTGGGTTTTCAGGGTTTTTTTTTTTTTTCTTCTTCCCCTCGGTTTTGGTTTGCTTTCGTCTAGCTACCCCACCTAAGCCCTCTTACTTCCACTTTCTCTGGGAGGTTGTAAAGTCGGGCTTTGTGTCGTCGCTGCTGCGCAGCGGGGCGGGATTTCCCTGCCACCCTCTCCTCGCTCACCCGCCCTTTTCGATGTTCCCAGTGCACCCTGGGAGTCGTAGTCCAACGGTTCTCTCAGCCTGTTACTGTGGACTGGGAGCTCCCCCCTATGCCCGTCTAGGGTTTGCTCAGTGTTGCTTCTAGAAGGAAGCTGCAGAGACTAAGGGGCTAAACCAAGGTTCTCTTTAGGAGCTGCGTGCGTGGAAATCTGAAACACTGGGTAGATTCTTAGCTGTGGGAAACGTGATGAGGAGGATACATCACATAAAGCTCTCAAAGCTGAAAAACCTCACCCAGACCTCAACTTTGACTCAGCGTTAAATCTTGCACGCCCTCAACTTGCTAACTTAAAATTGGAAAGTACAAAAGTTTAAAACCTAAAAACGAAAGCTTGGTCAAGAATCCCCTTGAGCCTGAGTAACTTTCCCTATTCCCACCCCCTTTTCCACTGCCCTCTGAGGCGGAGCCCCAGGCTGTGAGCTTAAAACTTTCGAATTCTTTCATAAAGACTTTAAAGCAGTGAATAAAAGGTGTTCTGTAAAGAGAAGCAAGTTCTCCTGCCAGCCTAGAAGGATTGGACTCAGCTACTCCGTTGACCTACTACGAAGTCCTGAAGGACTTTTATTGTGATGCTAGGGCACTTCCCATTTTACCCCCTGAAGGTTAGTTTGATTTCAACAAACATTTACTGGGTGTTTTCTTTCCAGAAGCTGGACAGTGATGTATTAAAAGAACTTCCCAGCAGGCTGGCTGCATTGAAGTTACAAGGTACAAACACATGAACACTACACGTTAGAATGTAATGGTGTCTAATGCCAAAGGACTCAGAGGAGAGGATATAATGTCTCCGGAAAGCGTTCCTGAAAACGATGAAATTTTCTTTGGGCCAAGCCTATAAACAGAGCTGCTGGAGATTAACCCAGGCCTTGGAATGTGGGAAGGTTTTGGAGGAGCCCAGGGAACAAAGTCCAGGTAGAGAGGGAGAGGTCAGTTGAAAAGGAAAAGTACAGGGCAACCTAAGAAAAAACACAGCCACTCTGTCAAGGCAGGAACCAGGACACATGTAGGCGGGACGTGATAAACGAAAGCTAAAACCCCAAAGCATCCTTAGAAACACGCTATGAAGTTTGACCTTGTTTCTGTGATCAAGGGGAAGCCCAACCACAATAAACTGCAAATGTGGAAGATTTAAATTAGTTTCTAAATGGTCCAAACTGCCTAGAGGTAAAATCAACCATTTCTACTTCTCCTATATTATGGTTCCTGTTTCCCCACACTTAATGATATGTCTAATGATTTTTAAGAACTTTTAAACTTGTACTAATGAGGTAGTTGGATACTTAATTGACAACACAGATCTAAGTTCATGCTCTCTACTGCAAAGAATTGGTTTTAAATAGAGTTTTTCCTCCCACTGGCTTTACTTTTATTGAACACGGAAACTATTTTAATTCCATTTACTAATTATTTGCTGAATAACTACTATTCGGAATACTGGAATAGGATGTGAAGGAACTAATTACCACTCATTCTGTAATGTATGTGGTCAGAAATGGGATTTACCTAGGAATCTTTTATTTAGTGAAGGAAAAGCCCGGCTTCAGAGTGAACTTGTGCAGATAAAAGATTTTACACAGTTCTAACAATTTGTCAGATCACCTTAAAATATGAGACTGAAGTCCTGGTAATGATAGGATGGGTGTTAGGTAGAACCATATTTATAAACTGCTTTGCTGTGCATGTCCTTTTGGGGAGAGGTATTTGGAGGGGACTGCTTCTGGCTTTCTTTGTCTTTTAGCAATGTGACCACATTGAATGAATATTTTTCTGCTTTCCACTTTTAATTTGGCTCTTTTAATTGGCTCATTGAGGATAGGGGACCAGATATGCCTTGACAAGTTTGATAACAATCTAGTCAGGAGTCTAGAGTCTTTATCAATGAAATACAAACTTTTCAACAAATAAGCAGTAGAAAACTAATTCAGACAGTTTGAGATGGGCGTTCTGACTAGTAAATATTTTTCCACATCTAGTTTTGTTAAGCAGATGGAAGGAAATACACTCTGCTTATAGATTTGTACAGATAAACTTTAAAAACTGGACACTCAAAAATTTCTTAGTGTTCTCTCTCACATTTTTTAAAATATATTACTGCAAATTTAAAAGCAGCGACTTTAAGATCCCTCAGGATATAGTAAGAATTGTCACTCACATTTCATTTTGTTATTAGAATCCTACTCTTTGTCATCCTTAATTATTTCAGTGCAACAGTTATATTCATGAGTCCTGACTAAATTGCTCCATTATAAAAATTAAATTCTATACCAATCAAACAGTGCTTACCAAAACATGAGATTCATGCAAAAGTAGTTTTTCTTATATCTCAATCTCAATCAGAAATTAGAGTTGCTCTCACATACACCCCATAGAGTCAATCCTTTGTGACTTTTTAAGACAAGAGTTTAATTTTGTTCTTTTTAGTGCCTTTTCCCAGTTGCCAAAGAAAATTCTAGGTGTTGTGGATGACTATGAAAAGCAGACAATCAGCTAATATTTCTATTCAGCCAGTTCCATAAACAGCTACAGAAACTATCTCCTGCTGAAACTGTCACAGCCAGTAATGGCACATAATGCCAACTCTTCCTGGGTGTCAGCTGACTCCAGCAGAAGCCACAGTTTTCAGGGGATTCAGGAAGGAGCCTGAGCTCTTCTCAACTTGACTAGAGATAAATCTTGAAACCAAGGGATGGGAAAGAGCAAACCATTTGCCATTTCAGTGCAAACCACTCAGGAGCCATTCTCTGTCTTTACTCCATGCCTTTTGCACATTCTCCCATCCTACTTTAAAAGATTACCAGAAGGAATGCAGAATAAACCCTAGGGAACAACATGCTAACCACCTGGTGAAGGAGATCAAAGTAGAATGCAGTAAATCAGCAGGAAGTGAATGGTTAGTTTGAATAACACCTTCTACTTAGTTCTAAAAGATTTTTTAAAGTAAATTTTTATATAAATTGAAAACAATGGTATTTTACATACCAATCCCAATTCTCTCTCCCTCCTGTCTTCTCATGCTCCCCACCAGCCCCCCATCTCACTCCCCCATCCACTCCTCAGGGAGGGTGAGGCCTCCCATGGGGGATCTTCAAAGTCAGTCCTAAAAGGTTTTGTTTTATATTGATAAATTTTATTTAAATTAGAAACAATTTTATTTTACATATCAATCCCAGTTCCCTCCATTCTCCCATGCCCCCCACCGATCCCCTGTACCATCCCCCAACCACTGCCCAGGGAGGGTGAGACCTTCCATGAGCCATCATCAAAATTTGTCAAGTCATTTGGGATAGGGCCTAGGCCTGTGTCTCTATGCTAAGTGAGTAACCCTCCATGGGGAATGGTGAAAGGGCTCCTCAAGTCCAAGTATATAACCTGGTCCCACTGCCAGAGACCCATAGGCTGTCCAGTCCTCCTAACTAGCACCCACGTTCAGGGGGCCTAGTTTGGTCCTATGTTGGTCGACCCCCCACCCCACAGCTGTCAGATTGAGGTCCATGGGTTCACACTTGATCAAGTCAGCTGTTTCTGTGGTTTTCCCCAGCCTGGTCTTGACAACAATAAGCATTAAAATATATATGAGAAAATTAGGATATAACACATAGAGACGCTATATTAGATATAAAACTGTTGGCCTGTTACTTGCATTTCTTATTGGCAAGCTCTGCCATAAATATTAACTCATTTCTATTAATCTAAGCATTTCCATGTAGTCTTATCTTACCAGAGGGAGGGTCCGGACCTCTCCTCTCAATTCCCTACATTTTGACTGCTCTCTAGTACATTTCCCAAAATCCTCCTTGTCTCCTAGTCCCACCTATCTTGCCTCCCTATTTGCCAACTGTGCTTTATTCATTAACCAATAAGAGGAACATATTTACAGAATGACATCTCCCATCATCT